AACAAACTATAAACAACTCAAATGTCCATTAACTTTCAGATAAATAAAAAAAATTGATAACTCTGTAGAATGAATAGCATAAACTAGTGATATATTCTACTGGAGGATTAAATCTCAGAATAATATGTTAAGAAAGGCACTGATCTGAATGACTAGGTATGGTACAATTCAACTTATATTAAGTATACAGAAAAGTCAACTCTCTTAAGACATCATAGAAATTAGTCTTTAGAGGGGGTTGGAGGGAACAGAGATCAATCTCAAATATTCCTGAGAAGCCTTTTAATGGCAGTAAAGCACTCAAAATTATTGAAACCTAGTGGATCATGTTGTGTAAGATATCTCACTGAGAAGCAGATAGTGCAGGACAGCTGTGTTCTGGAAAAGTTAGTCTGGCTGCACATTTGAAGCACTGATGGGAACAGAGGAGATCCACGGTGTAAAGAGAGACCTGTGAGGAGACACATGCAGCTACCCAAGTGAGGAGAGTGGAGGTCTAGATGAGGAGAGCATCAGTGGGAATGAAAAACAATAATAATGACCTCAGGTCTGACAACATCTTAGGAAAAGATTAAGGCAAAAGATGAGCATTTTCCATAAATTTAGGTTCTTCAGAAAAGTCCTTGGAATGTCATATGATAAGTTCAAGTAGTATACTTCCATGATAAAAAAGTACTATTAGCATCAAAAAAGGAAATAGAACTGTAAAGATGTCACTACTGGTTGATGGATAGGGCCCGAAAAGAGAATGGCCAAAGATGGGTCCCCGACTTCATCACTAGGCAGTTGAAGAAGCAGAAAAAATACATGTTCAGCAGTGTTACTGCAAAATTATGAAAGTCAGTAGCTTAATGATTACTCTGTTGTATATCTAGCTTACTTTACATTTTCTCTTACAATATCTACTTTCTTCCAAATATAAGTTTCTTAAGCCAATTATTTTTAAAGAAAGTACACACAAGCTGTGACTTCAGCATGTTAGAAACAAAAACTGAAAAACACAGGAGATTAAAGACATCACAGAACATAGAAAGCATGTACCAAAAAGTAAAAAATATGGTGGTGCTTGATTTATAACCCCATCACTTAGGAACTAGAGTTTAAAGGATAAGACATTCAAGGTCATCCTCAGCAAGGTCATCTTCAGCTATATAGTGAATTTGAGGCCAGCTATATGAGACTCTGTGGGAAAATAAATAAGTAATCAAGTTTAAAATTAAGGAAATAAGATAAAGCATTTCCATATTTATGAATAAAAATGAAAATTTTAACTTTAAAGATGCTCTGATCAGGGGCTGGAGAGATGGCTCAGAGGTTACGAACACTGGTTGTTCTTACAGAAGACCCTAGTTTGAATCCCAGCACCCACATGGCAGCTAACAACTGTCCATAACTCCAGTCATAGGGGATCCTACAGCCTCTTCTGACCTCCACGGGCATTGCAAAACCTGGGTGCACTTATCCACATGCAGGCAATACACACATACACATTAAATAAAAATAATATTTTTTTAAAAAATGTTCTGATCATACTATAAATTAATGAAAGTTATGAAATGAAAAAGCTTATAAATGTTTAAAAGAAAAGGGTGAAAAAATACAGGGTAGATCTTAGGAAACAGAAACCAAAGTAAAGTCATGATACCAAAATCAAGCAAAAATAAAATTAAAATAGTTTCATTTTGACAATGATAGTTCTTTGTGAAGATGTCCCATAGATACATTAGACCTTTATCCTCTCAGCTTGAGTGCCCCAGCCTGCAGGGCGGGAGATGGAGGCCTATTTAAAAAAAAAAAAAAAAAAATTTTTTTTTTACAGTGGAACAGTATAAACAGGAAAAATTCCACCAAAACAGAGTAAAGAGCTGTAGGCATAAAAATAAAAAAGCAATCAAGATCAGGTAGAGGCATTATCTCTCCTCTCTCTCCCTGTCTAACTCTAGCTGGTATAAAGAAACCAAAGGGAAATGTATTTGTTCAAAAAAACCTACTGAAAAACTGAGCATACTATATCTCTGAGTCCATGTATACAGCTGAAGGCTATATAACAAGAAATAGTGCCAGACAGGAGAAACCTCCCTTCAAGTTGTTGGCCAGGGTAGTCCAAGAGACTCCTAAAATTACACAGGCTATTGTCAAGGCCCTTGATTGCCTCCCAGAACTTGAAGTTAAGACCCTATTACTGAAGTCAGTATGTATTGCGGACATGGCTTGGAGTAATGGAGCTGGAACTGACCTGGATGGAAGCCACCTCCCCTGAAAGCTAGCTCTCATAGTTTTGGAGAGCACTATGCAAGCTGCTAAGGGAGAACATAAATCAATGGTCCAACCACAGCTTTAAGGCCTAATAACCACAACAATAACTGGCACAGAAAACTCTATTGGGGCAGTAGTGGCACTTTTATCTTGGCAGAAATCAATAGCTACCTAACTGAACTTAAAGCCTACACAATGGGAGGGAACTCATGTCTGGTACTGTAAACCTAGCCAAATGCACATGGATGGAGAGGTCATACATCTTAGAGAAAACCCCAATATTGTCACATTCCTAAACAAATGTATTTTCTTACTATGTGCAAAATATGGATCTTTATATTTACAGACAAGTATCCCAGTCACCACTCATCAAAGAAGCTTCTTTTGCACCAGATGGAGACTGTTACAGAGTTCCACAACTGGCCACATTCTCTGATTGTCCAAGTCTAAGTGGCACATCTACAATGCAACCTCTGCACTTAAGGCTCACGGAACACAGAACAAGGGTAAAGAAGACAATAGTGACTATCTCAGTTCTCACTGATGAAGCCCCCTCATGAAACAGAGGGCCAGGAACACAAAAGGTCACGAATGGCTGAAGTGTAGAGACTAAGAGTCTGCAGAATGCTGGTCCTTAGGAGTCCAATATTAAACTACACTCACCCAGGGCTCAGGGACCATTGTGGAAGAAGGGGAAGAAAGATTGTAAGAGCCAGGGTTGGTACAAGAACATAAGAAAACAAAGGTTTTCAGGTCACTGGGAACTTGTTCATATGAACTTGCAGCAACGGTGACAGCATGCACAAGACCCATCCTGACTCAATCAGAAAAAAACCCAACACAGAACTGGGGAAATGAGCAGCAGGCCTCAACCCTAACCAAAAAACTATTGGCAACTGATTACTGCTGGATGAGAGAGAGCAAATCTTAGAGTGACCCTAGATAGGCTGACTAGACTCCAGTAGATGAACTTGCGCTGATGGACATCTGGGTACAAATGCGGGCCTGGATAGGACAACATATATGTATATATGACATAATTCATTTCCAGTGTGTTTGTGGGTATTATGAGGGGGATGTGGATAGGGGAAGGGTCAAAATTTGATTAATATCTATTATATTAAATGCACAAAATCTCAATAAAATATTTTTAAATATGTAAGTATGAAGACTCACATTTACTAACATATTCTTTAAACTTAGCATAAATACATTTTTAATGTACGTAGAATTGTTTGAGGCTGATTTTACATATCAAAGAAAAGAAGATGAATTACAGTTCATTGAATAATATAACCCAATATATATCAGAACTGCAGGTGAAAGTTACTATGCAATAAAAACTAATGGATGCCAAATGAATTTTAAATGTTTCTAAGAAAACATTTGCATCTCAATTTGCAGTCATTATAAATTAATGCTGTGGCAATGTTTTGGAAAAG